CCCAGGCTGTTATAAAGTATTTTGCATGGAGGAAAATGAGCCAGTTGAAAGGACTTTTTTTTTTTAAACAAAATGATCAATGCTGAACATGTTTCTTTTTCCAATCTAATGATACACTTTTGGTTGTGACCCGTAGAAAAATGCAAAGCAGAAGCGGACAGGCTGGCCTCCTCTCCCGTCGCAGAACCAATGCTTAATGGCACCGAATGTGACGACGCAAGGCACAACAGCCCGACGTGCGTTTCGACAACAGGCCACGGCATGGAGTTAGCATTGGTAAATGAAAATGGGACGTCGGACATGGAGACGCCACACGGTTCTGTTACTGGGAGCAATGGATTTATTCTCATTAAGCCGCAACAGGAGGACAGCTCGGAAGCCACGCCTGATATGGCAAATTCCCCCCACAGGACTAACCGGCCACCTTCAAACACCCCCACAGGGGTACACTTGACCAAATCTCCCCCTTCCTCAGCCTCCGGGTCCCCTCAGACTTTAGGTGCACTAAGGACCGACCCTATTACAGGAACTACAACAGAGCTGGAGACAATAGACTCTAAAAATGGCACAGCCGCCACTACCACAGCTTCAACAACCATCATGATACACAGAGCTCGCAAAACCATGTCGAGGCCTGCTGTCACTCTGGAACAAAAGGTAAATGATTCCAATGTTGGGGTTTTCTTTTTCCTTCACATTCTTAGTTTTTAGTAGTCTGAGCCCTTTATCATCATTCCCTCCTATTTAAAAAAAAAAAAAAAAAAAATCACATTTTTTAAAAATAGCCCCTAAAATTTGCTACAACTGGGAAAAACCGTGCATTCACTCCAAAAACCGCCTCCATATTTTCAGGCACGTTTCACCCCCTCTATTCAGGACACTCACCATTTCTGTTTTTGTCACTGACAGCTCCTCAAGAAGGAATTAAGAGAAGCAAAGAACACCGTGATGGAAACTCCGGTTTCACCCGACACGCCGAACCCTTCACAGCAGTGCTCAACAGAGAACCATCTACCTCAGAATCCTTCGGATCTGCCAGCTTCAGCACAAACTGCTTCGCCGACTTCACCAGCAACTCCTGTAGATTCTTCCCCTCCGCTCACGTCGACGCCCTCCAACCTTCAACATGGTCTCGCAGGTTCCAGATGCAATCAACACGCACCGATACACCACCAAATAGATTTTTTTTTTTTTTTGTGGGGGGGTTCTTGGAATGAAAATAACCAGTCATCTTTGTGTATGTTTGTCTCTTGATGTAGGTCTCTTCACAGGGGGGCTCTCTTCCCGTAAGAAGAAGAGAAGGATGGGAATTTACAGCCTGGTTCCTAAGAAGAAACCTAAAATTCTTCGGCAGACAACAATGTTGGAAATGTTTCAGGTGGTACACCCGAATGCCAAGAGCCCGGAGGTATGTGCAAAGAGCGTGCAGAAATTTGAACAACTTCACCACCAGTCCATGACTTGCTGCACACTGAGCGACACGAGCAAACGCCACTTAGCTGTCACGCCGCGTGCGTGGTTCTGCCACTAATGGCTGATCGCCGCTCACTAGTTTTGCGCCGATTCAAAACAACTATGTTATGCGCGTAATGAGAGGAGAGTCATCAAAATAATAATCTCGTGCAATTCCTAGCGGGCATAGCGAATGTTTGCAGAACCAATAGTGCATCATATTTTATATTTTCCACATTTTCTCTGAACTCCCAGACAAATCTAAACATAAACGGGGAGAAGATGGATCATGCATCTGAGGAAGAGGAAGTGTCAGATGAGCTGGACTCGGAGGAGGAACAACAGTCGCAAGGAGAGGAACTTGGCACCGATATCGTGCAAACGAGTCCAACATTTGAGTCTCCGTCTCAGGTCAGCCTTGCCGAGGAAATCCCGAATCTCAATGCACGGAACTTGCGCAAGAGCTGGAATTAACCTTTGCATAGTAACCAACTCAGTGGTCACGTGTGCTAAATGTTTGCGGTTAAACTTGTCATTAGGCGGAGAATGAGCAGGATTCTGACGAATCTGGAGAAGATGAAGAGGAGGAAGGCACGGATTCAGATTACTTGGTAAGACCGACTAGGAGGCAACAAAATGCTTTTTTATCCACTAGCTTCAAACCATTTTCTCTTTTCTCCGACACCGAAATAGTCTCATCACTGAACTTCTGTTTGCCTCAGAGCACCGAGTCCAGTCTAAAGAAGTCAAAGAGGAAAACAAAAGGAGACGATGCCTGGCTCAGGCCATCGAGGAAATGCAAGAGGATGGCAATGGAGAAAGGTAACAAGTCCCACTGCGTCCACACCCAGCTCATTCGCTTTCGTAGATCGACTTGTCGGCTGCCGGCATCGGTTGATCTTCCTTGTCGACCAAAGTTTTTCCGAAGTACGGTTATGTTTTCTGTGGTTTCTTCTTTGAGTGTGTGGGTGTGTGTGCTCGCTTTTTTGCGCGAGTATGAACAATGACATACCAAAGGCCAATATCGGGGGGGGGGAGTGATGGACTTGTCAAAGCTGAGACGTACTGTGTGTTTTTATACCAGAATATGTAACAGTTTAATAGTTATTTGAAAGCAAAGATCCAAACACTGGAAGAAATTCATCCAGTTAACGTTTTTTAATTTAAAAAAAAAAAAAGGTAGGCACGTGAAGAACATGCAAATCTCCACATAGGAAGTCCGACACTTCGGTTTGAGCTTGTGCCCTCTGAAATGTGAGGCTTACCTGTTGTGTTTGTTGGTAATATAATATTTTAAAATGAGCTTTTCTTTTCAGAGAATTCCATCATCTACTAAGATAAACCCAAAGTAGACTATCTCTTATACATATGGATAATTTCATAATGGATCATTTTCAACCGACTTTTATTGTTCTGCCCAGACCCAGAGTCCTTGGCTGAGCCTCCTGCTGCATTTCTGATGCACTCAGAAGACAGAAATGAACACTCCGAGATCACACCACCCGACAAACTCTCACTCCATGAGCCTGACGCCAGTTCAGATGGCAAAGGTGAGCTCCTAAGACAGGAGGAGGCCACCCAATGACATATTCATTGTTTTACAAGCATTTTTCTGTCAAAGTGCTACACAGCACATCCCACCATGACAGCATTTTTTCAAATGTATGAAAAATCAAAGAAATATCCATCCTAAAACTTTTTTATTTATGCACCGTTGGCAGCCAATACGACCTCAAGTGCTTTTGAATACGATGTCAAGAAATGACACGTTGTCTTTGCAGAGAGCTCGAGTTCAACAGTGGAGGAGGCCCAGGAGCTACCACTGTGCAGCTGCCGCATGGAGACCCCCAAGAGTCGGGAGATTCTCATTCTGGCTGACAGGAAGTGCATGGCTACGGACAGTGTCGATGGACAATTGACCCGCTGCCAGGGCGCTGTCTTGAAACAAGAAATGATGCGTCCCTCCAACTCTGTTCAGCTGCTCGTTCTATGCGAGGACCACCGCAACGGCATGGTCAAGCACCAGTGCTGCCCCGGCTGCGGCTTCTTCTGCAGGGCTGTGAGTACAAGCCGTTTACAGGATATCAGCTGGGACATACTGGCACGAACATCTGCAGCCGGTTCCTCCGTGGGAATTATTTTGCAACATGCCTTTTGTCCGTCCTTTTGCTTCAGCTCGAGAGCCAAGCAAAAACATGCGGTCCTTCATTGGGATCCAAATTTTGGAAATAGATCGTATTGTCATCCCATTATGCCGTCGCATAATGGGCAAATGGCAAAAAGGCCATTAAATCGGACAGTAACTGGTGAGCATCTTACACAGGAAAAACTCAGTCAGTCAAGAAATATAATGCTGACCTATGACAAGGGACTTGAACATAAATTCCTTTGAGGTGACGCACTTATTGTTCAAAACGAAATTAGTTGAGTCTTTTTGTTTTTTTCTTCCAGGGGACCTTCATGGAGTGCCAACCAGACATGAACATCTCGCATCGCTTTCACCGCGCCTGTGCCTCAGTGCTGAAAGGTCAAAGCTTCTGCCCCCACTGCGGGGAGGAGGCCGGCAAGGCCAAGGAGGTGACCATCGCCAAGGCTGACACCACCTCCACTGTACCCCCCACACCTGCCCACGGGCCAGCTCCGCCCGGGGCCCACGAGGGCCGAGCGGACACCACTACCGGAAGGTAAATTACCCGCGTTGCCTTCTGACTTACCGAATGCGGTGGCACCTTGACTTTCTCATGAGTGCCCCCAATGTATACGTTTTTCTATTCCAACTTGCAAATATAAAGTGAAATCAAATAGGCCACACCCACTTGAAAGGAATACAAGTAGTACAATGTTACCTGCATGCGACTTTTGACTTAATTGCGCTAAATAAGCAGCTTGTTTTTTTTTTTTAATATGTTAAACTATTATAGTGCTATTTTCCTTGATCAAAACATGTAACAAAATGGTGGCGTTTTTTTGGGGGAGGAGGGTGGAAAGGATTCATGCCATCTCAATTCATTTTAATGATGAAAATTGGCTCGATGTAAATTGAGGTGACAGACCTGGTCACAGGCCAAATTACACACATGAGTGGAAGGCACTGCTGTCTGCCCGAAATCTTCAGCGATCGTTTTTGTTAGGAGTGAGGGTAAATGGCTCAGAGGATGGATGGAGCGCGGTGTTGAATTAAAGGCACTGTTGTTTTTATGGTCCAGCTCTTTACAGCCGGCTGTGGCGAGCGACGGCAACGGGAGAGCAGACAGCTCGCTTTGCGCTGGTTTGGCGCCGGGGCTCGACTCCCTCGCTGTTTCGGGATCCTCCGGCGGCACGGAACAGCCGGGCGACGTCGAAGCGACAGCCCCTTCTCCGATTCTTCCTCGAGAAACTCTTGAAAGCATCCTAGTTGCTCTTGACACGGAGAAGTATGTTTTCATTGCTTTCGTATGAATTCAGTCAACGTGAAATGTTAGACCCGGCTGGCATTTGGAATATTCATATGAGTGTGTTTGGATTAGACCCAAGAAGCTGCGTTTTCACCCAAAGCAACTTTACCTCTCGGCCAAACAGGGAGAGCTGAAGAAGGTCGTGCTCATGCTGGGTAAGTTTTAACCTTCATCCACTCCCTTGGGATAGTCATTGAAATGTGGTGAAACGATTTCCATCTTCATGTCGTATGCAGTGGACGGTATCGACCCCAACTTTAAGATGGAGTCTCAGAACAAACGCACCCCTCTCCATGCTGCAGCTGAGGGAGGACAAAAGGAAATCTGCCACATGCTTGTGCAAGTAAGAACTTATCCCCTTAGTCCTCTTATGGTGAGTGGATGCAATTACCTTCATGTCGTTGAAATAACTAGCTCGTATTTGCTATTTATAGAGTGCGTTATCCTACTGACTTCGCCAACTCACCTTTCCTACTTTCACCAAGGATTAGATGAGGTTTCCACCAGATTGGGCGTTCCAATTTCTTGGTGTACAACGTCATGCCCGCACGTTCTTAAATCTCAACCAGAACTGTTTGGAATACTTTCAATTAAATTCGGAGCATTGTCAAATCCCTCCCATCAGCCCCTTAAAAATATCTCCCACTTGTTGGATCTGAACCGATTCAAAAGAAATTTGACGTGCAATGTGATTTGTGCAGGGGGAGGTGATTTAGTTTCTTGAGTTCTTTTCACATGACACCTTTTGCAGTCACATAGTTCACCAGAGTTACAAATGAATGAATGCTTCTCCACTTAAAGGCCGGCGCAAACTTGGAAAGCTGCGACGAAGATCATCGAACACCGCTGATGGACGCCTGCGAAAACAACCACATGGAGACGGTCATGTACCTGCTGAGAGCTGGAGCCAGCGCCATGCACAAGGTCTGTCGCCATCACTTGCAAAAGAAAGATGACAGAAGCCCATCTGAGTTTGATGACGCTGTTGTCAGTCACCTTCAAATTTGTTGATGTATTTTTTATTTTTTTGTTGAGCAAGTGACACATAACTGGTCAGGACTAAACTCTCCACTCCACTCAGGATGTTGAAGGGTTCACATGTCTCCACCTAGCGGCCAAGTCTGGTCATTACAACATTGTTGAGTACCTCCTGTGTACAGGATACGTCAACATCAACTGTCAGGTCAGTTTACACTTCTGCATGCAGTTCTGAGTTACTTTGGGACTTTGCCCGGCAATATTCCCTGAGTAGATAGTGGCCAGAATGTACATTTGCACGTTTAGAATCCCGCTGTCTTTAAATTGCTCTGTTTCTGGAAAGTTAAGGGATGAATAAGCTCTGAGAGTTGAATCCACCCTGATACTTGTGCGCTACCTGCTGGAAAACTGAGTTTAGTGGTTGTATCTAATACAGTGGTTCCAACATTCAAGGACGTTCTGTTCAACCCTAACGTGTTCTCTTTGGTAGTTTTAATGAGGGACACACTTTGTAATTATTTATTCATTATGATGAGCGCGAAAACAGGTCATGACGCATGCCAAAAGCTGCACCACGGTCTGGTGTAGAAAACGCTTGTCGGACAGTGACTGGTGTGCGACGACTTCTCCCATCAGCAGAACAGCACAGGAAAAGCTGTCCTGGGTGTTATACGTTGCACTCCTGCTCACCATCACCACCCCCCCATGTTTGATTTTTTTTTTTTCCTTCCCCGATCCTACAGGATGATGGAGGATGGACAGCCATGATTTGGGCCACAGAGTACAAACATGTGAACCAGGTCAAATTGCTTCTGTCCAAAGGAGCTGACATCAGCATCAGAGACAAGGTTGCTCTAAAACACACTGCACTTTGGATTTTTTTTTTTTTTTTTTTTTTTTTTTCCTTCCCCGATCCTACAGGATGATGGAGGATGGACAGCCATGATTTGGGCCACAGAGTACAAACATGTGAACCAGGTCAAATTGCTTCTGTCCAAAGGAGCTGACATCAGCATCAGAGACAAGGTTGCTCTAAAACACACTGCACTTTGGATTTTTTTTTTTTTTTCCTTCCCCGATCCTACAGGATGATGGAGGATGGACAGCCATGATTTGGGCCACAGAGTACAAACATGTGAACCAGGTCAAATTGCTTCTGTCCAAAGGAGCTGACATCAGCATCAGAGACAAGGTTGCTCTAAAACACACTGCACTTTGGATTTTTTTTTTTTTTTCCTTCCCCGATCCTACAGGATGATGGAGGATGGACAGCCATGATTTGGGCCACAGAGTACAAACATGTGAACCAGGTCAAATTGCTTCTGTCCAAAGGAGCTGACATCAGCATCAGAGACAAGGTTGCTCTAAAACACACTGCACTTTGGATTTTTTTTTTTTTTTACAAAGAAATCAAACATGTAATTATAGGCTGGCGGTCAAAATTTCAGGAAGAAAACATCGTTCTTCACTGGGCAGCGTTCTCTGGCAGCGTTGAGATTGCCACACTGCTCCTGGACGCGCACTGTGATCTCCACGCTGTAAATATCCACGGGGACTCTCCTCTGCATATCGCCGCTCGGGAGAATCGCCTGGACTGTGTTGTGTAAGTTGCAATTGTGTGAAGCTGTTCTATTTTCGCGGTACGTACGGATTGCTGTGAATCCCGGCATTGCCTCTTTCTCGCTGAATTGTTATTTCACCGTGTGAGGTTGTGTCGTTGTTACTGGGAGGTGTTTTCTCAGCTCGTGTTTGACAGGTTGGTGGGGAAAAAAAAATGACCAAAAGAGGAAACCAACGTCATTGCTATTGCTGTCATGTCGCTACACAAGTGGTACTTGAAGCAGCAGTCTTTGAAAATTCTCTCAATCATTGGGTGTGAATGCTATACGTGCTTTGAATCGAGTTGTAAAAAAAATAAATTTTACAAAGTCACCTATCCTACCCTCCAGGCTTTTCCTATCTCGAGGAGCAGATGTTTCCCGAAAGAATCGCGAAGGAGAAGCGCCTCCGGACTGCTGCAGCCACAACTCAAAAACGTTTGCGGCCCTGCAGGCCAACAGGAGACAGAAGGATGCCAAGAACGTCGGGTTCATTCAAGCAATGGAAAAAAGCCTTCACAGGTTCAACTTGGATTTGTGCATTGTTTTTTAAAATTCAAAGTCTTCAGCAAGATTTCATATCAACTCAAGTAGTGTGAAAATAGGGCACGGGGCTGATGAAACACTAACTAGGAGTTGTTATGACGATGACATGGCAAATGCAGTGCAGAAAGAGGAGGGGCTTTGCTTTGTGCGGCAAGCGGCAAAATCAGCCAACGGTGTGTGCGTGCGTGCTTTTTGTACAGCGACATTGCCCTCGGGCAGGAGAGCGTTCCCCTTCCCTGTGTCAATGCCGTCGACGGTGAACCTTACCCGGACGACTACAAGTACATCCTTGAAAACTGCGTCACCTCCCCGATGAACATCGATAGAAACATAACCCACTTGCAGGTAAAGCTCTCGCCGCCAAATTCAAAGCGAGTTGTCCCGCTTCAATTGTCAAATCGCCGCTTTCTCATTGTTCTGCGTGTCCTTAACAACACAGTACTGCGTTTGCAAGGAAGACTGTTCTTCAAGCGTCTGCATGTGTGGACAGCTCAGTCTGCGCTGCTGGTATGATGCGGTAAGACCACGTTAAAGAGAACTTTTTTGAGGTCGAAGATGGTTCCAGACAATTTCAGGCAAGCTGTAGACTTGGCTCTTATTTCTCATTCTCATCAACTTTCAGGGCGGTTGTCTTCTCCCTGAATTCTGCCGTGAGGAGCCCCCGCTTATCTTTGAGTGTAACCACGCCTGTTCCTGTTGGAGGACCTGCAAGAACAGGGTGGTGCAAAACGGACTCAGGTAAAAAAAAAAGTATGCGTGTATCTCAACTGCAAAAGCGATCTCAGGCCTCTGGTTACTGAACGACATGTTCCAAGCTTGGCAATACTATTTGTGCATTTCTGCCTCCTCCTGGCCCCCAGTGGTAATGAAGTATTTGCGACCCGCCAAAAGAACATGATTAGAAAACGGGTGTCAGTCTGAGCTCAAATTTTTCTCTATACAAGTCACTGACCGGCCACACAATGAAAAAAATGTGCGACTTATTGTCCGAAAAATACAGTAGATTGTTGCATGAGGAAACTATTCAAATATCTGAATCTAACAAGTGAGAACCAATAACATGTCATGTTACCCAGGACCAGACTTGAGCTCTTTCGGACCAGTAAGAAGGGCTGGGGTGTCCGGGCACTACAAGACATACCGCAAGGGACCTTTGTATGCGAGTAAGTCCTCCAATAAATCCTGTCACTGAAAGGGGAAGTTTTCAGTTCACTCTGCTGACAAGATTTGAATTTATGCTTACCTCACTCACCCGACTGACGTGCACAAGCGCGATTCTCAAAGCTGGCCCTTCATAACGACAAGTACTTAGGAGCGTGCCTCGTTGTGATCGTCGCACAGAATGCCGTCCGGGTTCAACAAGAGAGCAGCTGTCGCAATATTTGCAGTGCGGCTTGTAAGCGGCGTTGGCATGCGCGTGAAGTTGACTCCTGCTTGTCAACAGGTACGTCGGTGAGATCATCTCCGAAGCCGAAGCTGAGATGAGGCAAAATGATGCGTACCTCTTCAGTTTGGATGACAAGGTGCAGTACATTCGCAATTCATCCTTTAAAAAAAAAAAAAGATCTTGCTTTTAAAAGTAAAATTGCTGCTCCGTTTGTCCATCAGTTTGGTTTCCAAAAGTAAGGCCATCATGTCTGATGTATGGCTTTTTTTTGACAGTCCATAACTAGTCGTGTTGTTGTTGTAGCTGATAGTATTTTTCATTCGTGGCCTTATGAATACATTTTTTGTTTGACATTATTGTTGTTTGCCTCTCAGCCACAAGATCTTTACTGCATCGATGCGCGTTTCTATGGAAACATCAGTCGGTTCCTCAACCACATGTGCGAGCCCAACTTGTTTGCCTGCCGAGTGTTCACCACACACCAGGACCTGCGTTTCCCACACATCGCCTTCTTTGCCAGTGAAAACATCAAGGCGGGAGAAGAGCTTGGGTAAGAAGACTTTTTTTTCATTCTCTACTTTTGTTTAATTTCAAGTTAGTGAGAGAACATATCTGGAGAACATATCTGGACGATGATGCCGAAGGCCACTTGAATAATTTTTATTTGCATAATTAAGTTCATGATTTCTTTTATTTTGACCTTTCTTTGAATTGTATTTTGTTCGACAAAGGGAGTTTCAAAGTTTAAGAAGACACAGATTATACCCCGAAAAATCATTTAAAAAAATGCTAATAAACCTTCAATATGCATTTTTGTGGACTCACTCGCATCAATTACCCCAAAAACAAAACCAAACTTTTTTTTTAAATGTCGGATGGAAACTCGGGTGGGGTCCCCCAAATGATTTGAGGCCCACACAGAGTATCGGCACGGTCCACATTGGGCCCTCAGGCCACCATTTGCCCACCCCCGTTACAGGGGGTTGTATGAAGCTCTTTTACGGAATCTGATTACATCATCATAAAGGCAACGTTTGAGTGATGTCCGCATGAAAGACTTGTTTTTGCTCGCTTCTCAGATTTAACTACGGCGACCACTTTTGGGAAGTGAAAAGCAAGGTGTTCAGCTGCGAATGCGGCTCCTCCAAGTGCAAGTACTCGTCCGCGGCCATGACGTCGTTGCAGGCGGACAGCACGCCAGAGAGCCAGCAGCAGCCCAGTGCCTCCCCTGACACCAGCTCGTCCGACGCTCCCTCCAGCCCCTCTTAAAAACGTTGCCCCCGCGCTCCGCTTATTTCCACGCGCGTCACGTCTCCCGGACACGAGGACGCCCGCCCCAACACCAACCGATGACACTTTTTGCGAGATGCACAGTTGGACGCCCCCGCCCCCTGAAGAATGTTCTGCTCCGGTTTGACACCATGCTAAAAATGACCCGTCTCACCAAACGGCGACGAGGGACAATTTAAAAGCAGTTTTTCACATTTCATATTTAACATCACCGGAAAGGGAAAAACGTGTCGAGAACCATTCCACCAGAATGAGCGTATGTGTACATTTAAGTTATCAGTTCATCATGTCA